CATCTTTCATATTATTATGTAGTTGCTTTTTCTTAAAAATTTTAACTATAAAATAATTTGCATAAGTGGGAGGAACAGCACTATGCTAAAAAATCATAGTCTAGTCAATTCATCTAGCCATGATACCAAATAGAAAAGAAACTTTTCTTCGGTCCAAATCTTTATCATTATCCTGGAGTCCCTGGTTCTCTGAATTTCTTGCCTTGTCTCTGGGATCACCTTATTATGCAACATCTGCTCTGAATTTCAAATGTGATAAACAGAGTGTGAGTGTTGGTGGCAGATGGCTAATGACCAGCAGTGACAGGGCATTCAAGCCTGCCCTGTTTTCTGAGGAGCGATATTTTCATGTTAATTTGTTCTGTGTCCTGCAAAGATAGGACAAATCACCTGCTGTAATTCGGGCAAAGCGGAGACCACCAGGAGCTGCGAGGGGCCAGGGTTTGGTTCCTTTAAGAGCAGAAGGGGAAGATCTGGGAGACTCTCTTTGCAGCACAGAGGACCAGTCACTTTGTATTATGTCAAGCAGAGAGGGATGAATCAGCCCCAGGCATTCCATCCTGACATCAGAGCCATGTTTACTGCAAGCAGATATTAGTCACTAAAACAGACTATTTCCCAGAGGCAGAAAACAGGTGCAATCAAGAGCGTGTGCTGGTCTCTGCAGTCTGGGTTTTGTAAAATAAACCTAATAGTACATTTTATCTCTTACAGTCAAACTAACAGAGTCTCCAAGAAACATTCAACTGAAGATAAAAAGAAATCTAATCCAGTGAGAAAATTACCCGCACAGACATAAACCCTGAGCTTTGTCTTTTGGCTCTCTCCAACTCCATGGAACTCATTTATTATAGGGATACACGGACATAATTTTTATCCCATGACTCTGTGAGGTCACGTGGTTTTGAGCTCAAGGAAACCTGTCGTGCTGAAGAAAGGCTACTCATCTATTTCTTCTGAACTTTATTTTCATGGAACGATAGTATCCATGTCACTAAATAGACAGTGCAGGCATAGTAGCCAAAGAATAACATCAGGTATGTTTTCAAAGAGTTTATAAGTCAGCTGAGATGCTGGCCAGATCCTAAGAAAGCTGATGTGCAGGCAAGCACAAGTGTCGGAAGAGTGGTTAGCGCAAGAAGCCAGGCATCGTGAAGACACACGGGAGTCTGTCCATCCTCAGCACTCTGCCAGATGGCTTCCTTTACTGCAGTGACTAAGGAATACGGTGAACAAGCTTTTGGACACTCCCCGTGACCCCATGTCATCTAGTGGCAGATGGACACACGGAGACAGAAAGTAAAGGCAGAACTGAACTCCACCGCAACACAGATTCAAGGATCTAAACTGGATCGAGGCAAGCCAGCCAGGTCCACAAGTCTATGAAAATGCCATCATGAGACAAGAACAGACTGACCTACAGAAAACTGCAGCAAACCATCATTTTGACCTAGAAATTTTTACTTTAAAAATGCTGGAAAGAACAGTCTCTCACTGTTTTTTTTAATATTATTGTTAAAACTTTATTTTTTTTAATAGCATTTTAGAGATGATGTTCAGTTCAGGCATAGCCTGTGACTTATTTTATCAAAGCCCAACAGGAGGACCATACATTAATGACAAGATGTCCTCTTCAAACCGACCTAATTATCAACCTGCACATCCACATAAACCTTCATGATTTTTAATTTTCTCAAAACAAATGCTATTCAAATATCTGAAAAACTGTTCTGTGAGGGGTACTTATAACTCGTCCATAGGCTGCTTTCCAACAAAAATGTAGATTAGATGATAAACAGAAAGATTTTATCCCCTTCTAGACACTACGGAATATTCTAGTTTTATCCAAGCCCTGCCTTCCTATAGGTGACAAACCAACAGGTAAACGGTGTGGTGAGACCAGCACAGGGAGAGGGTAAAGGCCAAATTCCTGGCCTACACTATCTCACATGGCTGTACTCTTGATTTTTGTTGTTGTTGTTGCTGTTCTGTATCTATTTCATGTTAAAATGTCTTCCAGATTATTAGTATTTTTGATAATATAGCATGTTTCAATGCATGTAAGAGAATGTCAACACGTTATCTGTTAATCTTCTAGACACTGTGATTACTTTAGAGAATTCTTTGGTACTACACAGAAAAAGACTACTTGTTGGTACTTTGTTGGTACTTGAAAATATCCCCAACCTATTAAGTAGTCAGTCAGTGTGTGTGTGTGTGTGTGTGTCTGTCTGTCTGTCTCTCTCTCTCTCTCTCTCTCTCTCTCTCTCTCTCTCTCTCTCTCTCTCTCTCTTTCTCTCTGTCCTGTTTTCTCTCTGTGCAGCCCTGTAGCCCTGGCTATCCTGGAACTAGCTCTGTAGACCAGGGTGTCTTTGAACTCAGAGATCCACCTGCCTCTTCTTCCCAGTGCTGGAATTAAAAGTGTGTCCCACCCTATCGGGTGCCTGTCTCCCTTCCTGGTTCCCTCTCTGTGCATTTCATCTTTCATTTCTCAGAAGTCACTGAGCATAGGTTCATTTTGTGTTTGCTAAGTGCTCACCATGGAAACTTCCTAATACAGTAAACACTCAACAAATAGTGTCTCAGTATACTCTAAAAAACTCTTATTCCACAGAACATTCTATAGAAAATAATCCATTTTTGTCTTCCCAATAAATTGCTCAACACAGTAACAGTCACTAGCTCAAGGACAGACTTGGCATAAATACATACATCTGTATTACAAACTATTTCTAATCTACAGTTTCATGCTTGAAAACTTCAACCCACAGTGCAGTTAACCTGTAGTCCAATTCTTAAAAATAAATCAATCACCAAGACAAAAAAAACCCATTTTCCTAATAAAAGAAATTGTTATCAGTTATACCTGTAACCTAATCTAACACTGATGGTTGTATATCCTCCTAAACAATTATTTGTGATTTTAAAAAATGGTTTTATAGCCATCACTTTTCTCCACACTGATACAATACCTTACAGAACAAATTAAGGGAGGGGGTTTATTTTGTCTGGCAGACTGAGAGGGTACACACCATTATAAAGAGTAAGACATTGCAGTGGAAGCAAGAGGCAAGGAGATAAGCTCTGTGGAGAGAGTGTCCGGCAGACTGCTCACACTGCTCTGATCAGGAAGTAAGGAGTTTGGGCAGGAAGTGGGGCTGAGCCACCGTAAGGCCTGCAGTCCAAAGATGCACTTCTTCCAGTTGGGCCCATCCTACTAAGTGTTCCTGATTAGCTAGGGAACGACACAGGAGCATGTGAGGTCCATTTTACACTCCCGTCATAACAATCTTATTAGAGCACTACACTACTCAGGGTGAGAAACCTGTGGCAGTCGGTACACATGGACAGATAGATGCATACATACATACCCACGAGGGGAGAGCCTACCAGGAAGTGCAGTGAACTGGGTCTGGGCCATTCCCTTAAATGGGTCCTTAAATGGGTCCTTAAATGTGACAATAACTAAAAGGCAAATGAGACCATATCCAACTCGGGTACGGATCACCCACATCTGGCTGGGCCTTGAGGTGGCTAACAGAAACTCCATGAGAAGAATGCCACTGAGTTGAGGACTCAGATCATATCAACAACTGTGATCTGACTCTGGGGAGGCAGAAGCAGCAGATCTCTAAGAGTTCGAGGCCAGCCTGGTACACAGAGCTAGTTTTAGGACAGCTGAGGTCATTCACAGAGAGCCAGTCTTGAAAAACCAACTCCCACCAAAGAAACAGAACAAAACAAAACAACAACAAAAAAAGCCTGTGGTCACTGAGCTCAGAGAACAGGGTGAGCAAAAAAGATGGCGCCTGCTCTGTAGGCACAAGGTGGAGTTTTTGGATTAAGTACATAAAGGAAAGAAATAGAGTCTCGGGAATGGAAGGTGACGCCAGAGGAAGAGACGCCAGGGGAAGAGAGTGTGGAGTGGAGGACGCAAACCAGGTGATCAGTGATCTAACAGGGTTTTTCTGTCACTGCACACAGAGAAATGTGCACATTCAAACTGCTACTATGTATCACATTCTTTAATGAGAGACAGCAAGACGGGAGAAAAGAGAATTCTTACTAGCCTAAACCTAAAGGGATAATCATTTATTATGTTGCAGTCTAAATGGATCGATATCTGGGGACATCACCTAGCCAACACTCAAGAAGACATTTCTTATTCTGCGGAGATGTTTACAGATTTAACAAGTGAACTGGAAAATGAAGTTAAGTAGTATAACAAGCAAGACCATTAAATATTTTCTAGGAGCGTTCCCATTAAACTTAAAGGGAAAAAGAATTTGTCTGAAGTCAATACACTTCCCAGCTTGCTGACCAGGAAGGGCAGAGTCCTAATCATCTTTGAATCCCAACAGCACAACCTGTCGTTTACACTAAAGCAAACACCGAAGCAGAGAGGCTCAAATGAGCACGCATATCTGCATAGTACAGACCCCAGACTCAGCATACAACTGTAACAAATGTGTGTGTGTTTTTTAAAAAAAAGATTTATTTATTTCATGTATGTGGGTACACTGTCACTGTCTTCAGACACACCAGAAGAGAGCATCAGATCTTATTACAGATGGTTGTGAGCCACCATGTGGTTGCTGGACCTCTGGAAGAGCAGCCGGTGCTTTTAACTGCTGAGCCTCAATGTATGTGTTTTTTGAGTGATATTGAAAATTATATCTCTTAAAGACCAAGAACCAAAAGGAGAGACTGAGCTGTATCTATCGCATTATACGTTATAAGATTGGGGCCAGATAATATAGAAATAAGGAATTCTAAAGTATTTTAATGTGCATTTTTCATTGACCCTAAAATTAAACTGGATTAATTCACCTCACTCTCTGAAGATCCCACTTAGTAGAGAACTAGATTATTTATAATTCTTTGAGCATCTTAAGTTTCAAAAATATCAACTCCAGCAATTTCACAATGAAAGAATGTTAGTGTTCAACCGAATGAAACAGTGGCAAGTCTGACCAGGCATTCTAGATAATTCTTGGTACCTTTATGGTTTCTGTGGGTACGCCGGGCTCTGGAACTTTATCCAAGTAAGTGGTCAAGTCTTGATCAACATGCTCAAAGACTAGTGTAAGCTTGGTTTCTCTGTCTGTCCGTGACACTGTGCACACGTCAAACAACCTAGATGGGAAAACAAACAAACAAAAAACAAAACAGAATGAGTTGGTAGAAATACGCCAAGTAGTAACCCATGCATCTTCCATGTATCCCTCGATTCCACCCCCTAGCTAGTGGCACACCTTATGATGATGTCCAGTGGGACCTACTTTTTCCATATTCATATCAAAGTTCAGCAAAGGAGCTGTGTAAGGAAGGCCATCCAAAAAGCAGTCACAAAGCAACATGCCTGGGGATGAAAAACGCCTTCCCAGAGTGTCTTATCAAGTCTTTACACAGAACTTGTTGGCGAATATGGCTTTAAAAACCCTCAATCCAGGCAAAACAATTCTAACAATTCTTAGCTCACAGATTGAGTATTCTTTGGAGACAGTCAACTGCAAAACAGCTTCCTAGAACAACCATGGCCATGAAAGTCATTATGACAGACTATGGAGGAACATTTCAAAGACCAATTTCTCATCCTAGTGAGCCAACTAATTGCACTAGAAATGGCATATGTTCTTAGTTTTAACATTCCAAATCTCATGTAGAATCACCACTGTAAAAAGAAAATTCTAAGGCTTCCTAAAAATTTAATTGACAGAAAATAACTGCATGTATTTAAAGGATACCATGCACAGTTTGATATGCTGGGGACTACTGTATAGAAGAGTGGATGACTATAGCAAATGATACTCTAGATGCCCTCCAAAGCTGCTCCAAGCATGGGTTTCCAATGTTTCCAGCCTAAGAACATGAAGAGACAGGTCTGCTAAATAACTTGATTATCATCCAAACACTGAAATTTGAAAGGGGAATACACTGGAAAACTAATGAAAACAAACATTACAGAAAGAGCCTTTCGGGATCCAGAGAATCTTCAAGCCCAAGGACAAAAAGTATTTTAGTTTATCACACTGTCTCAAGCATGGCTGTCTCATCAGGCTGTCTAAAGAATTAAACAAGCCATCCATAAATAAGCTGTAAGGAAACTTCTTTGAGATGAATGTAATATAAATAATAAGAGGAAATGTATAAAATGCTATTTGTATTATGTTTTCATTTAAGGATTTAAAAGCATCCTCCAAGAAGTTGTGTGTACACAGAGTCCCCTTGATATAGCAAGGGTTCACTGCCATGGTTCAATACAGATGCTACCTCTACTAAACTTTCAAGGCCTGGTTGGTTTACAGGGCCATGCTACCTTATTTCTGAGGTATGTGGCCTTCAAACATAGTACTTTTTTCTAACTCTACACCAAATATTAACAAAATATACAAAACACTATAATCAATCTTAATCTATTAATAAACTGTAGAAAGCCCATAGTGTGAATGGCTTGCTATCACGCATAGTTTAACATTTGGGGAGACTATCAAAGGGGCTCTTTGAACTTGCTAGTTTGACTCTTGGCACATAAGCTGCTTTTAGTCACCTTGTGACTATTAACATCTTTCAACTAGTTCTTCCCAGAGGAAAGAAAAGAGTTGCAAATCAGAGAGCTTCTTTGTATCTGATGCTTCCGTATTTGCAATAAAACTACAATGAGCCAAAAATGGGATATAGTGAAATAAAATACAAAATATTATACGTAGGCCAGAACATATCCAGTACAATTAAAAAATTCCCATTATAGCTAAGATATCCCTTAATGAAAAGTACATGTCAGCCATCACATGTCAGTTAATGAACAGCTCTGGTTCTTATTAAAGGGATACATATACATACACATAGACACACACACGTACACACACACACACACACACATAGACACACAAACACAAATACACATACACACACTTTGTGTATGTGTGTGTGTGTGCTTGCTGCTACTAATTTTCAGAAAAAGAAAAAAATCATGATAAGGACATAACACAGTTGAGCCAAAGGTCAACATTCCCTGAACCGCTGTCTTAAAAATTACCTAACAGCTCTGGCTGTATGCAATGTTGCTACATCTCAATGAAACCGTTTCAAGACTCTTGTATGACACAATTCATGAATAACATTTAACCACCCAAGCTGCTTCTCTTTATGTAACACTTTGCTCTTCAAAATATTAATATCTGCTAATGTCACCTAAGGTAACTCCGTTTCACATGAAGGATGCAAGAATTAGGTAGAGGCGAGCTTGACAAAGCCGGTGCCGACTGTCTTAAATGATGAATCTGGGGGAAAACTGAGAAGTGGAATGAATCTAAACAGGTGTGTGGCAGTGCATACAGCCAAATATTATTTTAGTTCATGTATGTATTTTGCCTGCATGTATGTGCATCATGTGTATAACTGGTGCCTTTGGAGGTAGAGAACTTCAGATCACCTAGAACTGGAGTTTCAGATGGTTGTGCACCAGCATTTGGGTGCTAGGAACTGAAATCATGTCCTCTGCAAGAGCAAGATCCTTAACTGCTGAGCCATCCCTCCAGCCGCCTCGTGTGGGTTCTAATGCATGTACTCATACATTGTTAGCGGTAAGAAATCAGGTGCTATGTACAAGTTACTCATACAGGTTCAAGAAGAGACTATTTTTAAATTTCAGGTGTTACTGTTAATTTGCAAAGCGGAGGATATCATAATCTCCTTGGAGATTCACAATCCACATCAAGGAAATAAGCAACAGACTTCCTGCTTTGAGGCTTCAGTGCCAGCTGTCCAGGCACTTGTAGGTGGGCTACTTCAAAAGAAGACATCTGAGAAAATACTGCTCTTCACTGTAATCTAAAGCTGCTTTAATTGTTTAGTTACATGTGTGTATGTGTGTGTGTGTATATATATATATATATATATACACATTATACACTATATATAAACTATATGTATATATGTAATGATATATTCTATATATAGTTGAATATATACATAATTATATATAGCCTGTATATAATATTATACTAAGAGTTAATAGTTGCATTAATTGTAATGGATAGAAAATACATTTTGAGCCAACATTTGCGATTATTGATTTTGGAAATTCTAGAACCCAATATTCATGGTATCTTTTTATCTATGGTTCCCTCTAAAATTACTCCAAATCAAACAGTAGTCATTTTGGTAGGCAAAACACAATAAATATTTCAATACAGTTAAGTTCCACAGAACCCAATTATAATAAACCAAAGTCTTAGTATTTGGATGAATGTTAACAACCTGCAACCAAATAAATAAGTAAATAAATAAATAAATAATGTATACGAATCCTGTTTACATTCCATGGACTTGCAAAAGAAAAGAGCAAGACAAATCTGGCCATTTTGACATAAACACTGGGAAATAATTTCCACTGTATGATTTCTTGGCTGACATTTATGACTTTCTAAAATATTCAGCAATATGACAAAATACCATTGATTGCATTACTACATTTCCAGAGGAAGAGTGTAACCTCACTGCACTGACCATCAGTGGGAAATCACAGTCAGCATTCATCACAGACTCATACCATGTGATCTGAGGAAGCACCCATTCACAGAGAGAGAAGGAGGGGTTGGGGAAATGGGGCAGCCGTTCAGTGTGCTCGCTGCTCCACCAGATGATCCAGACTTGGTTCCCAGTACTCACAGGGCAGCTCACAACTGCCTAAAATCCCAGCTCCAGAAGATCTGACACCCTCTTGTGGCCTGCAAGGGCCCCTGCACACACCTGGTGCACATAAACTCATGCAGGTACACACACGTACACATAAATAAGCACTATTTTTTAAAGAGTAAAAGTGAGAAGTGGCTCTCAGTGTTTATTGAGGTTAGCCATCTTAACAGAGTGAACTCGATCCAACTCACTGTCGTTTCTTATGGAGATCGGCCAACCCCTAACTGTCCCACCCTGTGAGCTACTTTGCTTGCTGTCACTATTGGTCGGACGTCCAGCTGCTGCCTGGGGTTGTTGGGGAGATTGGTGTGGGGAGTAGAGAACAAGTACACAGCCCACACAGCATTCAGCTTTCCTGCTATCCTGGTGTCCTCTAAGAAAACATTCCCTGAATTAACTCTGCATCCTACCCATTGTAATTCTTAATAGCTGCTTCCTGTTCACAGTCTCAGTTTAACTTGCTGCCCAGGATCTATGTACTGGCAAAAGACTAATGGACAGGATTACATTCCATCCAGTAGGTTTGGGATTTCCAAAGTTTACAATTTACAAACGTCTCCCAAACAACAAGCTTTGTAAACACAACCTCTGCCTTTCTATTGTGGCTATAATAAAAGGGAAATCTGTATTATTGGCTAAGCAGGAAGTTTTAAGAGGACTCTTTTCCTGTCAGGTTTCCCTGACCTCTGCACAGTCTTCATTGTTTGGATACCAAATAGTTCCAGAGCTGAGCACTGTCTGGCACAGCTGCCCGAGGGACATGACAAATTCTTATTTGAACTAGAGCCAGAACCTGAAATTGAGAAAGTCCCCCCCCTTTAACCCCTTGTCTAATCTTGAAGGTTCATGAAGTGCTTTTGGTGGGTACAGCTTGTGCACCAACTCAGTCTTCACCCACCCCACCCTGCTGTACAGTGGCTAGATGGCTCTTTTTGCTCATGAAATACAGACTGTGTCTGCAATGATTCTCCATCAACATGAGATGACAAACTCCAGAAGTATTTAGCACCAGCAGCAATGACTAAGCTGCTAATGGTAACTGCGATTTTGCAGCATCTTACGAACGAACGTGTGTCAGTACCTGCCCCATGCAGGTGCTTTACTCAGTTTAAAGGCTTTGATGGATACCGCGGGGCAGGTAAAGCACGTGAGCGATGGACGGAATCTGGAGACTCGGTCCCGGGAATTTCACTGCAACCGAGAGTAAAACTCTCTTTATATTAGCATTACCGGACTGGAGAGGCAAAATGCCTGCACCTGCTGGCGGCCACTTCAGTTCACATAGCACAGAATGTAGCCAGAGATTTCAGGGGATCTTGTTTAAGTACCTGGAGCCTCTTCTGTCTGACCTACTTTCTGAATTTAGAAAAGTTACCTGAGTCAGTGAAGTCATATTTCTGAATTAGAATTGAGATTGTTGTTTTGTTTTGTTTTTT